AAAAAATAAATTTCAACCTATTTGATATGTATTTTAAATTTTGCATAAAATAATGGAGGTTCATATGTGAGATTCATAATAAAAAGATTTAAAGATCGTCGTTGATAATTTGAAGTAAAAATTTGGGACTAAAATGACAAATTAATTCATGAATAAAAGTTGTTGGGCCATTTAAGATCAAAAAACAAACTTCTGGGGAGGAAAGAGAAAGAACAACATGGAAAACCACGGGAAAAATTTTAAAAATTTGGTTAAATCATGCAAAAACCAAAAACTCTGAGTCGACCGAGGTTTGGCCAGTTCCCGTTTCACTCGGAGTTTTGACCGAGCCACAAACTGACAATTTTTTAAGTCACTCGGCTCGGTTTGTGGTTCGGTTTCCAATTTAACCGGTTGAACCGTCCAGTCCGAGCCGAGTTTTACAACACTAGTTTTTCGCAACCTCCTCAATAATTTCTCGACTTCTGCCAGAGTATAGTTGTGCAGTTCTTCTTCTGAAAGTTCAATATCTGCGAAAAAAAAAACATTTGCTTAAAGCACAAAAAAGATGCATATGTGCTACACTGCTAAGAGAGTGACACAGGTGCAACAATTAGTAAAATGCTCACAAAATTTTCATACGCTTGTATTCAATATCATCAGCCATTAGCCACCAAGTTTTTTTCCCAAACATGCTCAGGCTTGGTAAGCGTCTCGCTATGCATGAGTGTAACAAAGAGTTCTTGCAAAAGTTGTGCAGTGCCCCATTCACTTGCCTCCTCGATACTCTATATGAATTCTTTATCATCCACCAAAAGACCCATTGCAATGCAAGCTTCCTTAAAAGTATCATGAACCACACCATTGACCATCTTCAAATCATCGTAGCACATAGGCCCTTGATTTTAGTGAGCATAATCCTCATGTAGTAACTTTCCCCTGCTGTGGGAGGAGCACTATGAATTCTACCAACTGATATTCCTTGTTTCCTGATTTGCCACTGTTTCTTACTTTGATTCCAAACAAATTTGGTGGGGAACTCTACATAAGTCAGTTGCCTGGACCATTCATATTTCTTGTTGCATTCCATCAAATGTTACATGAGAGCACTCTTCAAAGGCTTTTCCAGTGCATCAGTAATGTCATCAGTCTCTTTAAATATCTTCAGGTTTCAATACCTGATCTTCTAGATCTTCACCTTTATCTGGGATCTCAGCTGAAATGATTCCATAAATATCTTCAGGTTTCAATACCTGATCTTCTAGATGAATCCAAAATAAAAGATGGGCATGTGGAAGTCGGCGCTTTTGAAACTCAACCGTATAAATAACTGCACACGAAAAGACAAAAAATTAATTCTGAGCAACGTAATCAACTTAATAGACCTAATTATAAAAATTATTGTCACCAACAGGAGATTAAATGTACCTGATTGAAGTTTGCTAAACATTTTGGGTTTCTTTAACTCATGAAAAAATCGATCCAACTTCATCTTGAATACTCTGGAAGTAATGTCAAGTCTATCTTCAGGATTTATGCCTCTTTTCTTGCAACACCTGACAATCGCTAGTCACTTATTGTTGCAAGTCATCGTGATGAACAGATTAGGATAACCATAATGTTTACATATAGCCATAGCATCCATGTAATTCTGCTACATGTATCTGCGACCACCAGTATATGATGGGGGTAATACCACACGCTTCCCAATGGTTACTGTCAATATTTCCCTCATTGACGGAGGAGGGTATCTGGTTGTACTTTTCACTTCTTCGTTTGGCCTGATTTTTTCTAATAAAGGACAACCTCTGACTTTCAATCATAGTGTATGCATCGACTAATAATTGGTGAAAGAGATTTCTCGCATACAGAAAGTGTGTACTCTCATCCAACATTTCATGTATTCTGAAAGCAAACCACTCTTTCATTGTCAACATTTTCTACGCACCCTTGGTTTACCATTTTCTTCATCACCATCCATATCATCTTCATTGTAATCATCGCCTACAACATTCTCATAGAGATTAGGTTCGTACTCAATGAACTCTTCACCAGGTAGAGGGACACCCAACCTAAATCCATCTTCACCATGAGGAAGTAGCAAAGGATATTGCAAGGCAAGATAAGCTGAATGCAGTTCACTTATTCTCTTGATGTCACCACTCTGCGTCTCGATCGCAATATCTCTGCGGCTCTCATTTATTTGCCCAGGTTCTTCCACAACGATTGCAGCAACTTCATCGGCAGTGGGTCGGTTATATAATCGGCCATCTTTGCCACGCTTTCCAGCTATTTTATGTTTAACTCTTACCTCAAGATCGGTCTCGAATCGGTCCCTTGTCTTTCGATAAATCTAAGCCAAAGGGTTATGATGATCCAACATCTTTGTCAAGTCTTCAGTGATTGTTTCATCAAACTTGTTATCCATGGATGGATCAGAGCTGCAAGATGATAAGGTATCAGGATAATAGAAAATAAACATGCAACAAATTTAAAATATCAATTTGAATTTGACATTTGAAGATACCTCAATGCATTGACTCTATTAGACACCTCATTACGGATCTCATATATATGGAATTGAGAAAACTTTTGTCCGCTGCCTGATTCTGGAAGAAGACTGCCAATTCTATGATAATTGGTACCGTACAATCTGAAAACCCAAGGACCACGACTACTGTTAATTGACTTATCCACCTTCCCTCCCGTTGACGTGAAAGCAAACAACATGTTGTATGCTCTTATCTAATCCCAAAACTTTTTACTCCGAGGGTCATCATTACGAAGAAGATCATCCAATACCTTCAGCGGTTTGGCAAGTTTTGGCAATTTAACCTTCCCTTTCATACAACACAATGAGAATTTAGGATAATGTTTCAGATCCATTCTTCGGCGATCTCTCGGTGTACCACATGCGAGCACTGATGGATGTCGAGACCACCAAAATAAACCTACTTAAAACTTATAATAAGTGATAAGAAGGATCAATCTCACAGAGACGGAAAACACTTAATGAAAATTGGGATCCAAAACAAGAACACAAAGTAAGAGTAAAAATAGCAAATTGGCAAGTGAGTTTGTGACTTGGCAAAGTGATAGTATCATAGGGTTGTCCTCCACTCTACCCTATATGCATATATATTGATTCTTTTAGCTATCTATATGGTATGAAACTGTATTCAATCAGGCACATGATTTGTATTCCAGACAGCAGTCCTAGCAGCAACAAGCGAACTAACCTCCGTTGTCGACTCCGGAATACTACTAAGTCATTAAGAACTTCGGCCCTTATGATTGCCTCGTGGCAAAGAACTAACTTCTGTTGTTGTTTGAAACCTTGGGCTGTTACTCCCTCGTCACCGGTTAATCTTAGACACTCTAAGTTAAGTTTACCCTTCCGGGATTACCCTAACATGCAAGCACAATTAGTTTGAATGACATTTTCAATCTAAAAGGATAATTTAAACTCTAAGACTAAACATACAAATCTCATCCGAGAGCATGAATTAAAATATATGAGTAGAGGGATTAGACCCTAGAAAATGAATTCAGTTACTCATGGAGTGAAGCTCAAACACTACAAAGCCGAAGTGTTGAGATTTCCTCATGGTTACAACAGATAGTACAAAAAATAGGAGAAGAGTAAAGTCAGGGAGTGTGGTAAAGTGCAGCTGACTTTGCAGAGTCAACTTCTCACTTCCCCAAGAGACACCCCTGAGTTTATCTTCGAGAGTTATACTATGTTTCTACACTACTGAACTAAACTACACTATCTTACTTCTACTTTGGATCTGGTGTTCTTCGATACCTTCTTCTTCCTACTGCTGCTGCCTTTTATAGAGTTTGAATGAGAGATCTTGGTTAGCCTAGTTGGTCTCCTCTTTACCCGATAGGTTTTAAGCAAAAGATAGGAGACCCATACTTCTTCCAACTTCCCCCTTACCTCTAATAATCTTTTGGAAGGATTTGGTTGAGTTAATCAGCTTTAAGGCACATCAATCATTCTCCAATGTCAGTAGCATCACTTCACCAGCAGCTCTTCATCCTTAGCTCCGAAGGTTTCCTCTAATTTGGCTCTTCTTCCTGCCGGATTCTTCCTTTCTTCAGCCCTTGCACATCAGTCCCTGAAGCTGGAAAATTATAGGAATATATAAAATCTTACCATTTACACGATCAACTAAAGGGCTTCGTTTAGTAGGATCGTCTGATGAAGGGACGTCATAAAGCTGCTTGTGTGGAACTGTTTTTTGGCGCCTGTTTGTGGGTTATTCGGTGAGGAAATTTCATCCCATGAAGTAAGGCAATTTTCTTTAGCCACGACCGCTTTTCTTTTCCTCCTGGTTTCACCTGATATGTTTGCATCTGTATGATATTGACATGGATACACATAAACATTGACTTATACAATCAGAGGGTTTATGATAACAAATATGCGAAATGCAATCAATAATTTAATGAGGCAATAAAATTAAAAAACAAACTCACTGTTTGTGATTTCAAGAGTGAATGAGTGGATACATACCAACGTTTACATCAGTGTGCTAATTCATCCCAAAGTTTTAGAATTGATTAATTACGTCCAAAGATTATCAAAATTGAGCAGATCCATCCCATGACTTAGAAAATAACAAAAATGACCTGATATAAATGGTAAACATCTATTGGCCTCATATTTCTAAAAAATACATTTTATCATTTATTAGTAAACTAATGCAACAAACAAATCATGTACAAAAGCTTAAACTAATTAATGCGTATAAACTAATTCCATTCGTTTCGTTATTTAAATGATGAAGATGACAAAAAAAGTTTAAAACAAAAAAACACTCGAAATGGGACCATTTATTAAAGGTAATAGGTTTTCAAATAACCAATTCGACGGAAAAAATCAACAAAATCCGCGGCAGGGTTCGAGTGGCATGATCAAATACTCAAACTCATGCTTTATAACAACCTCTGCAATTTATTCTGTAAAAATCACGGTAAAAGTTTAAATTATCAATTATTTTCTTATTCAACTATCAAGCGTGTATTGCATATTCATGCTCGTTTTTTGGTGCTTGATGCTTCAACAGATCATCACCATCATTATTTGAAGCACTTTTCTTGCACGGAGTAAATCCACCAACTGATTTATCATCAACTCCACATCCTTTCCCTATGCCTTCTGAACCATTTAACTGAAACAAACATTCACATATTAAGTAACCATTGTGCCCAAATTAACTCTCAAAAATGCAAAAATATATTATGCAAAATATAACTCGTATCCTCAAAGTACCTTTGGATGGTTGGATGAAATAGATATTGTGTCACCACCATCATGAACGGGCTTATCAACATTGTTCGCCTCAATCTATCATTTACTAATTAGATCAATAAACGAAAAACAAAAACAAAAAAAAATAACAAAACGCTTTGTTATGTGTTTTGGTAAGCATACCTCCAAAATTTCAACCTGGCTCTCAAAGCTAGCAATAAGATGGGGATCATCTATTAACCGAGTAAATATCAAAACCTGTACTGATATTATAATCAGTTACCTCGGAGTTGAATATTAACTGTTTACCCACCAATTGGTACAACGCTTCCGGAACTTCACCCGGTTCTAATTCATCCTATACAATTATAGAATACATAAATGTGAAGAACAAAATAAAAAAGTCATTATGTGCGTTGATATATTCCATTAACTCTAATGCATACGAGGTACCTCGTTAATTGACTCCCTAAGTTCTTGACATGTGCGGTTGAGGAGCCTGTGAATTTCATAATCAAAGCGTATGAACATGCAAGTCATGCCGTCGGCATCATTGACGGTATCTTGTACTTTGTACCTATAAAAAGTTGGCATAGGTTAGATGCATGAAAATTAGTTCCAAATCTAAATTAGTTAATGCCTTGTGATTGGATCACAAACTTACTTCGGACCAACATCACCAACTTTTTCCTTGCAACTTTCAGTCCTGCACTTGAATTTTTTCTTGTTTCTAGCCAAATTATGACTTCCATTCACATGCTTTGAGTCTTCCACCTTGATGATAGGAACATCAATCTCTGCGACCTTCTTGTTACACCTCTTGCAAGCAATGTAGTACTAACCGGATTCAGGATTAAGTGTTTTGATTGTGGCAAGGACAACATAATCATATCCTATCTACATGAGTAGACAATACACAAAGGAAAAATCAAACCCAATCACATTTAAAGTTGATAACGTATTATCAAAACATTAGAAAAATAATATTAAATTATTACTGAGGTTAATTATGCGAGTTCAGGAACTGTTTTCTTCTTCCATTTAAGCTCATCGATTGGCTTGACCTCTCTTGTTTGTATTTCAATAGCTGAGACCTTTGCTTCATTGTCGTATCCACCAGCCAACATAAGTCTGCATATATGATACCACAACATAAACAAAGAAAAAATATTCATTTTACATAAAGGCTCAACACAACGCAATATACTTCTCTTTGAAGTCATGAATTTCGTCCATGGACTCGTCCGTCCATATTTTGGTACGCCAGTACGCTTTTTGAACCTTAATATTTCCTGGAATACATGAACCAACTTATAAAAAATATCCATGAACAGACACATGTTAGCATAGTGAGAATCAAAATTCGGTATCAGTTACCTCTATAGTTATGTTACGATATATGTATATATATTTGTATAGGGTTAGTTTCGTCCTTTGTACGTACTAGGGTTTCCACCCTAAACCCTAAATGATGTGTATATATAGTCCCTCTGTGGCCCGATCAATATAGTATCATGTTTTATGCCGACCATTTAGTTATGTCATGGTATCAGGCTAGGTTTCTGCCGCCGTCGGTCCTCTTTTTTTTCTGCCGCCGAAAAATTTCTTTTTTGGCCGCACCTCTGTGCTGTCGTTGTTGTCGTTGTTGTGTTGTGTGCTTTGTTGTCGTTGTTGCGTGCTTGTGCTGCAACTATCCCTGCTGTGTGGTTTTGCTGCCTCTGCCCGCCGGCTCCATTCCCTGCCAGTCGTCGCCGTCAATCGTGCGTGTGCAGGCTTGCCGTCCTTCAGCTCTGCTCGCCGGCAGCCTCTTTTTCTTCTTCTTTTTCCGGCGGCTTCTGATCCCTTTGGTACGTTCTCTGCTCGCCGGTGGCTACGTTCTCTATTCGTCGGTTTCTGATCCCTTGTGCTTGCCGCCGCCGGTCTTTTTCCTTCTTCCTTTTGCCGGCGGTTTTCTGATCCCTTTGGTAACAAAAAAAAAACAAAAAAAAACCCTCGCCATCTTTGCCTCATGGTGCACGGTGCTGAAGAATCCAGTACTCCATCTCCCACCCTTTTTTCCGCTGGTACTGTTGCTCTGCCGCCGGTTCCCGATGGTCCAAAACGTCGTACGATTACTCCGTACGACCTTACTGCCGGTGACAATCCAGGAACGTCGATCACTCAGGTTATGTTGAAGACTGATAATTATGATGAATGGTGCTGTGTTGTTTGTACTGCCTTGCGAGCGCGTAAGAAATTTGGTTTCGTTGATGGCTCGCTTTCTCAACCATCGGCGACGTCACCCGATTTTGAGGATTGGTGGACAAACCAATCTTTGATTGTTTCCTAGCTGCGTAATTCCATCGAGCCATCCGTTCGTTCCACAGTTCCTCACCGCGAAGTTGCTTCGGTTTTCTGGACAGATGTGCGTGAACGCTTCGGCGTTGTGAATGGTCCCCGGAATCAGCAGCTCAAGACCGATCTAGCGAATTGTAAGCAGAAGGGTTTGAGCATGTTGGCTTATTACGGTCGGCTTCAGCTGCTGTGGGAGGAGTTAGCCAACTACGAACCACTGCAGTCCTGTTCTTGTGGTTCTCTCGCCGTTCTTGCAGAATCGGAACGGCGCCGGGAACCTGAGAAGCTGCATGAATTATTTATGGGACTGGTGCCTCTCTGTATGGCACGCTTCGGTCGAGTTTGCTCTCTCAAGACCCACTGCCCACTGTCAATCATGCCTATTCGTTGCTTGTCCAGGAAGAGCGGCTGCGGTCCATCTCCAATGGGACTGATGAAGTTGCAGTCGATGCTTTGAGTTTCGCGGTTCAAGCTCCACGGTCTGCCCAGCTTCCCACTCCACCGACCAGCTGGTCTACTTCTCGGTCTCGGTCTGACTCCAAACCGATTGAGCTGAAAGCTAAGTCAATTATTTGCACTCACTGCTCCAAACCGGGTCATGACGTTTCCAGTTTTTTTGATCTTATCGGATATCCCGATTGGTGGCCTAACTCTCGCCGGGATTCAAGTGGTTCGGCTGGTCGTGGCTCCGTTGGTCGTGGTGGTAGTTCCTCCAGTCGTGGGCGCGGTGCTGGTTCGGGTCGTGGTTCGGGTAGCTCTGTTGGTCGAGCTAACGCTACTATTGTACCCGGTTCACAGTTTGTTGGCTCTGTGGTGACTGATTCAGATAAAAGTGCGGTTACTGGTCTTTCTCCGGATCAATGGCAGACTTTAACCTCCATGCTTGATACTCATCACAAGTCGAGTAATACACTCTCTGGTAAGCCTTATTCTCATGAATGGATGTTTGATTGCGGGGCTTCACATCATATGACGGGTTTTTTGGCTTTCTTGACAGATTTGAGGGCTATTTCTCCTCGTCCAATTCAGTTACCTAATGGTTCTATGACTTATGCGTCACAGTCGGGTGTTGTTCATTTGAGTCATTCTGTCATGTTGCACAATGTCCTTTATGTTCCGGCTTTGAAGTGAAGTTTGATTTCTCTATATCATTTATTAGAGGATTCTCATTCTGTTGCACAGTTTACTAATAAATTTTGTGTTGTTCAGGACCGTACATCGAGGACTCTGATTGGCGCGGGTGAACAGTTGGGGGGTCTCTACTTCTTTCGTGGCTTGTCTCCTGCTCGGACTTCTCATGTTGTTTCCCCGATTTTATGCCATCAGCGGTTCGGGCACCCTTTTGTGAAGGTTTTAAAGTTGTTTTTTTTATTCTAGTAGTCCTGTTTTGAATAAATCTTGTGACATTTGTTTCCGAGCTAAACAATCTCGTGAATCTTTTCCCATTAGTACTTCTAAAAGTGTTGAACTTTTCTCTTTAATTCACTGTGATTTGTGGGGACCTTATCGTACTCCTGCTTTGAGTGGTGCTCGTTATTTTTTGACCATCGTTGATGATTTTTCTCGTGCTACTTGGTTATATCTTCTTGATGATAAGAAATCTGTGCCTACTAAGTTATGTGAGTTTTTTGCCATGATTCACAATCAATTTGGGAAATCTGTCAAAATTGTTCATAGTGATAATGGTTCCGAGTTCTTGTGTCTGGGTTCCTATTTTCGTCAAAAAGGAATTTCGCATGAAACTTCCTGTGTTGGTACCCCTCAACAAAACGGTCGTGTCGAACGTAAACACCAACACATCCTTAATGTCGCTCGTGCCTTACCTTTTCAAGCTAATCTTCCTATTCCTTTTTGGGGTAATTGTGTCTTGACTGCTGCCTACTTAATCAATCACACTCCCTCTTCTGCTTTAAATGGGAAGACTCCTTTTGAAATTCTGTATGGTAAACCTCCTTCTCTTTACCACTTGCGTGTTTTCGGGTGCCTTTGTTATATGCATAATCTTTCTCGCGGGGGTGATAAACTCGCTCCCCGTGGTTGCAAGTGTTTTTTTGTGGGTTATCCATTTGGTAAAAGGGCCTGGTTAGTTTATGATCTTGAATTACGTAAGTTTTCTGTTTCTCGGGATGTTGTTTTTTGTGAGACTGAATTTCCTTTTGCCAGTTCTTCTGTTTTATCAGACTCTCCTTCTCCTCGGGTTCCTAGTTTCTCTCCTTTTTTCGATGACGATGATTTACCTCCTTCCGAACCGGTTTCTGTTGCCCCCCCAGTTTCTCCCTCTTTGCCTGCATCACCCCCCTTTCAACTCCAGCTTCTCCTATCTCGTCCCCTTCCTCTGAGGGGTCACCCACCTTGTCCTCCACCCCCGAGTCTTCTTTTGCATCTCTTGAACTATTGGGTCGTGGTCATAGTACTAAATTTCCTTCTACTCGTCTTCATGGTTTTGCTCGCCATCTTACCTCTCCCTCCGCTGCTCACTCACCTGCTCAGTCCTTAGGTACTCCTTATCCTATAACAGATTTTGTAAACTGTGATTCTTTTTCACCCCAGCATCGAGCTTTCTTGGCAGCCATTACTACAGGCGTTGAGCCTAGGTCTTTCCGTGAGGCCATGCAGGATGCCAAATGGAGTTCTGCCATGCATGATGAGATACGTGCTTTGGAGAAAAATTGCACCTGGGAAGTTACTTCCCTTCCTCCTGGCAAGCGCGCCATTGGTTGTAAGTGGGTGTTTAAGATAAAATATAATGCTGACGGTTCTGTTGAGCGCTATAAGACTCGTCTGGTTATCCTTGGTGATAATCAGGTTGAAGGCATTGACTACCAGGAGACCTTTGCACCTGTTGCCAAAATAGTCACTGTTCGTACCTTTCTGGCTGTTGCTGCCACCAAAAAATGAGAGCTTCACCAGATGGATGTCCATAAACAGGTGTGTCGGCTTCGTCGGTCTCTGTATGGTCTTAAACAGGCTCCTCGTTGCTGGTTTGCTAAGCTTGCTCAGGCGTTAAAGCAGTATGGTTTTGTGCAATCTTCCGCTGACTACTCTTTGTTTACCCTTCATCGTGGTTGTATTTCTCTTAGTCTGTTAGTATATGTTGATGATCTTGCTTTTGCTGGTAATGATCATGTTGCTATTACTGCTTTCAAACAGTATTTGAGTACTTGTTTTCACATGAAAGATCTGGGCCCTCTTAAGTACTTCTTGGGTATTGAGGTTTCCCGTAATTCGTCCGGCATATTTTTATGTCAACGAAAAAATGCTTTGGATATTCTCTCGGAAGTTGGTCTTTTGGGTGCGAAACCTGTTACTTTTCCCATGGACCAGAATCATCATCTTCCTCTGGCTGAGGGTTCTCCACTCTCTAATCCTTAGCCGTATCGTCGTCTGGTTGGTCGGTTGATCTATCTTGCTGTCACCCGTCCTGATATCTCTTACTCAGTTCATATGTTGGCTCAATTCCTGCAAGCTCCACAGCAGGCTCACTGGGAGGCTACTCTCCGGGTTGTTCGTTATTTGAAACTGCATCCAGGTCAGGGTATTTTGCTTCGTGCTGATTGTGACCTCCAGCTCTATGGTTGGTGTGATTCTGATTGGGCTAGTTGTCCTCTGTCTCGGCGTTCTCTCACTGGTTGGTTTATTACTCTTGGTGCTTCTCCTATTTCTTGGCGAACTAAGAAGCAGCAAGTTGTCTCTCGTTCGTCTGTTGAGGCTGAATATCGTGCTATGGCTAATACTGTCTGTGAGTTGAAGTGGTTGAAGGCTTTGTTACTGAGCTTGGGTGTTCGACATTCTCAGTCTATACGCCTTCATTGTGATAGTCAGTCTGCGCTTCATCTTGTTGCTAATCCAGTTTTTCATGAGCGTACTAAGCACATCGAGGTTGATTGTCATTTTTTGCGTGACGCGTTTATTCAGGGGGTCATTTCACCTACTTATGTTCCCATCGAGTCACAGCTCGCCATATTTTCACTAAAGCTTTGGGTCAACAGCAGTTTTCTTATTTTTTGTCCAAGTTGGGCATTCGAAACCCGCATGCTCCACCTTAAGGGGGGGTGTTACGATATATGTATATATATTTGTATAGGGTTAGTTTCGTCCTTTGTACGTACTAGGATTTCCATCCTAAACCCTAAATGATGTGTATATATAGTCCCTCTGTGGACCGATCAATATAGTATCATGTTTTATGCCGGCCATTTAGTTTGTATCAAGTTATCGATGCAAGCATCACCAATAATGATAATAGATCTTGAAGATTCTAGTCGTCCTATGTGCTCAAGGACCTTCTCCATGTGTTTCTCCCATAAAGTGCACTTCAAAGACTCATCCCTACAATAGTCATCATGGAATAAAATTATTTTGCACATAAAACATACGTATTTAAATCTATGTCTTTCAACTCAATGTCAACAAATGTCTTTCTCGGCCGCGACACATGGTTTTTTGCCATTCCCCCTTAGCAACTACTTCGCCAAAAACATCTGTACAAAAACAATAAAAAAAGAAAATGAATTTATTGCAAAGGACAGATTTATAAGGGAATCAAAATTCAATAGATAGATTCAATTCCCTTATCTGAATGGGAAGTGGAAAAAGAAAGCATCAGGGCACCCCAACTACATAAACTATAAATATGGCATCAAGATTTAACAAAAGTTGGTAACC